AAGCGGCTGAATGATCAACCAGTTTGGCCTTGTAACCTGAAGGTTTGGGGTTGTGCTTGCGCACTGTTGAATAATACCAAAATAAGACAAAACAGCTCGCTGTCCAGGGCTTTCTGGGTTTCAATGACCTCTGTGAATGGGGTTGGTTCGTGACAAAATCTAACAGTCGAAATTACATTACTCCAAATTTCCATAAGTCCCATAATTTAAACTAACAGATGTGTTAGTGGTGATGAAGTAACATGAATAAAGGTCACATCAGTGATTATTGATTATTTAAATTTCTACACAATATTTTTTATCATATCATTTTCTCAGGTTGAAGGTGATAACAAAACTCTATTATACAAATAAAATATATGTTCTCCTGTTCTCCGCCCAAATATTTCCCCAAATGGTGTTGATTAATCCAACTTTAGCTTAATATCAAAAGACAAAATAATATGAGAAAGCACTAATGTTGAAAATTCAGAAAAACATTGTTCAATGTTCAATGTCCAACTTTTACTGTTGATTAGTGCGTTTGACTTCATGTTATGCTGAGGATCAGGCAATATTTTTAGTTGATGCTCATTTGATGATGAAATAGATAACCCTGGGAGATAGCTTTTTGTGTTTGTTCGAACTCATCGGCAAGGCTTACCCACAGCCTTGATGGAACTGATGTCCCGTCTGAGACTTGGGGCCGCATCAGTGATGCTTCCACTGGAGAAGAGATGACGGCCCATGGGTGATTTTTAGTACGGTAGTTAAAGGATACACCGATTAGACACCTGTGTGAATCGATGGCCCTCTTAACTTAGTGGTAACGTTTCTTACTTAAGCATTGGATAACGCGGGTTTGAATAGTAGAGGGAACATCAATTCCTTCAAGACTCCATGTACGCCCTGATGATGAGTTCTAACAAGCACGAAATTTAGATCCAAGGCCTCCTATTTACTGTCTCCGACCACCTTTATTTTAAGATATTTGTTACATGGCCTGATTATTATTTGCGAGTTCAGTTTTATGTTAAACGTGATTAGTTGGATATTATTTGTAATCTGCTAAGGACACAAAGTTCATTTACAGCCTTACATCACTTTATCGATTAACTAAAATCAAATAAGGTAAGACTTGACGAAAATAAACTAATCGTTAGTGAGTTACCTGAGATATAAGTCTTAACTAGGTACCCATTTTGAAGATTTAGTTACTGATTATCAGAACTTGTTTTTTCCTCGTAACCTACAGATTATGAGTTTCCACCCCTGATGGATTTACGGGTATGTACTGCTCCAGGATCCTAGATTCAGATAAAATAACTGTTTTGAAGTAATTCCTTGGATGGCGACTAGCAGCCGAATCTAGGATGTGCATTTTTCCCTGTTTGGAACTCATCAGCTAGACTTAAATATATTTCCAGTGACTGGTAGTGTTTCCACCCAGACTCAAACACGGCACCCATCGTTTCAAGTGTCAAAGCACTATCCGCTAGACCACTTAGGCAATGAGAGCCACCTATTGTGCAGCGGGCATCAGTTATGCTTTTAATTTGATTTTCCCGTCGAATTGTCCGTTTTAGGAGATGAAATTGAATTAAAAGCAGGAAAATAAAAAGGACTGTCTAGTGTTCCGTGGGTTCCGAAGATTCTCTTGCTGACATATATTGATTCTTGATAAAATTTACGTTTCAGGTTGGACAGATAAACTGATCTAACGCAAAATACTCTCAATAATGTAAATATGATAGACTTGGGTCAAGTTAAAAGGACATAATTAAGGTCAAAATAACATTGAAGACCAATCACGAAACCAAATAACAGACGTAATAGTACATCTACCCTGGCTGGTATCAAAACACAGTTTGCCGAGGGAGGTTTATTGTGATGACGAATTGTTTTTGAAAGGCATAAAGGTGGTTTAAACTTCAAAAAACTTTATGATACGCCCAAACACATTCTACAGGTTAGCTTAAAAGACGTGTAAACAGTAATTTTATGTCCTGTCTATATAAGATTTTTCGAAATAGAGGAGTTAGGTCGTCTGTTCTCACCATTAATAGGTTCTGGGGATTGTATTTGCTTTTGAAGCCATTGAAGAATATGCTCTGAAGCCAGCTCTTACTTGCAGACATCGATGAGTCCTCCGTATGTATGTGGGGTCACACGTACATTCGAATTGGTAAATACAATTGGATGTGACATCATTTTTCGCATGTTCAAAGGTCTTAGATGGGTATATTGGCTTCACATGCTAAGTTATTATAATCTTAGCCGCATATAAAGTCTTTTTAACCGCAGCGTCCAATCTTTGTCTAGTTGCTAAGCTACTATGATCACCCAAATAGGGTAGCTTGGTGTACACGTCTTTCTTAGCGGTGAGTCGGAGAGTGGGTCTTAGTGTTCTGACTACTTTACATCGCTTAATGAACTTGTCTGGATAGCTGTTGTCAACCAGAGTTTGTGTCAACTTTCTTTCTTCCTCACCAAGTGTGTCTTCGATGCGTATTCGTTGGATTCTACTGATACCAGGGTAGATGTAGCATTGCCTGTGTTATTTGGTTTAGTGATTGATCTTCATTGTTATTTTGACCTTTAATATGTCTTTCTAATTTGACCTAAGTCTATTTTCTCACCTCTTAACTTTTGATTAACTGCATATATGACAAGTCCATGTTTGTGTGTGATCAGATTGTTCGAAATGTGTTGCGTAAATACACATTACACGATTCAGATAAATTACGTCTTCTTATTGCTTTATCTAATTTCATAAAGGGAACTAACTGTTTTAACTTAATAACTTATTATCTCAGTAAAGTGGTGGGTAAGGTGAAATACTTTGAAAATGATTTGTGAACCACAATTCTACTTAGATTTTTCATTAAGAAAGGCTCTTCCCTAAAAGAGTTACTCTGTTGTTAGTTAGATATTCTTATAGAAATAATAATGAAATACGAGAAGCATATGTATATTGTATCCAAAGTCAAAATATTAGCCGTACCTAACCAACGACAACAACAAGCGACAGTCATTATCAACGGGAGGTCATCTCATTCATTTATGTAAGTTATGCTGTTCCAACAATAGGCAACACAATTGAGGATGTCAAAGACAGGATAGGGAAAGCAAAGAAGACCTCTATTGTTCTGCAGTCAGTTTGGAAGTCTACTGAATTCAGTATAAAGAACACAATTCAGGCCCTCAACAACAATGTAAAGTCAGTTTTTCTATACACGGTAAACTTTCCCAACAGAATGAGGAATTTTGTCTGTGGCTGAATGCTTCGTTCCATACTAAAGATTAGATGGCCAGCTGTGAACAAATCAGAGGTGGGCCTATTGCCCAAAGAATATACCGAGGCAGATGGATGAGATACACGCTGAGGAGACCGTTGTGGAACAGAAGTGAGAAACAGCTAGTTAGGCACGGGTCTGAGTGTGACATAGGAGGGGGGGGGGTGAATGAAAACAAATGGGCAGTCGTCAAGCTGGCTAAAGAGGATTACAGTGAAGAGGATAAAATTGAGGTATTTTGTTGATGCTCTATGTTCCACTTGGAGCTCAAGACAGTAGTATTAATAATAAATTATGAATAAACAGTTAGGTGAATAGTTAGTTATCAACATCAGTCAGGATCTTATGGTCAAATCAGAATAATTCAAAGTATGGAGGGTTGATATCCAACTATTTTCTGAGAGTAATTTTCCACAAAGTTACCGTGAATAATACAAGTGAGTGGGAAGAACACCATTCTTGTTTGAAAAAGAGTTAGTTGTCAAAATGTAGTTTCTCGAACACTTCAGCCTCTTATTCTCAATTCATTTGATAACAAGTATAATGAGCTTGCCCAATGCGCCTCATAAGGAGTTGTATGATGTAGAAACTTTCGGATTCACCATTAAAATTTGCTGTTTATATTATGTATTATTAACTAGAATCACTTACCTTTTATTCATGAAGTGCCGTGGAGCGATAACTAACTGGTCGAGGTGCTTGATTTACGGGTTCGAACCCCTCTCCACCTACTTAGGCTCAAGCAAACAGATGGTATTATTAAAGCTCAAATATAATACAGGTGACTTATTGTCAGTCCTATGGAAAAGTGAGTGATTATTGAGTAACATTTCCATTTTGCTACCTAAACTAAACAAAGTAAAATGAATAGACAACGCTGGGAGATTTTCATGTGTGTAATATAATTATACTGGATGATGTATAACTATCAACCAGAACATTATTGTTGTTGCGAATAAGTATTTTGGTAATGAAACATGTTGTTCAACAGGTTTTTCCACTAATTGATTGGAAAATAGCTGAAGTCATTTGTTTTTCGTTAATATTGAGATAACTACCCTGCATAACTCGTTGCTCTTAACATGTCTGGGAGCGGACGAGGGGGTATCGTTAGGAATTAACTGGCCAGAGGACATTAAACGTTTATATCAAAATCGTTTGTAAACGGAAAATTACTTCATGTTAGGTTTTCACTTTATATTTTTTAAAGATTTTATTCATTTATGGCTTCAAGCTAGAGCTTTGAAGTTTCGCTGGCAGTGGTGTTTGTTTTAACGGGATAGGATCGCTAGCCTCATGCCCAACCTCCCATCTTTACCCATCTTATTACCAATCTGGTGAGGTTTATGACTGTGTCGTCCGGGGATCTAACCACGAACCATACCCATGGTCGGTTATCTTTTTACCGCTGTGCCACCGAAGCACACTTCACATAATAGTACACCCAGTGACTGGGTACTGGTTTTCAGGAGAACCGAAGACACTTAACCCTGTCTCTTGAGATACGAGACCAGTATGCAGTATCATCCTGAGGTGCAACCACTCGAAATTCCTCTTTCTCGGTAGATCAATTAGATTTTAATGCTTCACTTGTATACATACAATCATAGTTGCATCATAAATACGGCATCTTAAATCATTATAATCGGTAAGTCCTGGATTAACAGAAAGTAACGGAAATAAGAGGGCAAAAATTCAACTTTAAAAAGAAAATGGTTCACTCACATCATTATCATCGTCATCCACGTTATCTGCTGTCCAACAACAATATGTGCCTAAAAATATCCATGCTGATATAAAGCACAAAAGAGTTGCAAGCCACAAAAGAATGTATGCAGAACCATAGGATATAGATGTTGTAGTACGTTGACTCTATAACACAAATTTAATTGAAAAAGAAAAGGATTTAAAGATAAAAAAAACACAACAAAATACAGAATACCTGAAAGGGTACTGTGTAAAATCAACTTGAGTTCTACATGATGCTTACCATATTTGAAAGCTACAATAACTTCACTTGGGTGTATACAAGTCAAACGTAAATCAAGCCTAGAAAAGAGGGAAGGTTAAGTGTGTAGGGTTAGCAAAATCATCCCGTGGAAAACACAGTCCCATTGCTACTGAAACTTCAAAACAAATAGGTGAAATAAACTTGTTTTCTGCTAAATAATCCCTACTTTATCCCCAAAGGCATTCTCAGTAGGTAGTAAACTTTCATCCATAACTACCTTCGTTCAAACTGAAAATCAGATGACCGAGCACCACTGATGAATAACAAAGAATTAAAGCAACTACTGAACAAACCAACCAGCTAAGGATACCTTCAAGTGACATAACAAGTCAAGTCATCGAGTGGAATCTAAATGGGAAATGATGAGTTGGACGTCCGAAGGCAACATTGAGGAGGTCATGCTACACAGAAATGACAATCTGTGAGCAGTAGCGGAACTAGCTAAAAGTCATGACAGAGAAAAGAATACTATAGCGATGTGCAGCTGAAGACCTGTATTCCACTTGAGTAGAAACAGATGAATAATAATACTGCCAATAATCGGATGAAAACATAATTTCATAGGAGAATAATCACCGTGGTATGTTTTACGGCAAAATATTAAAATCTATCCACTTGGAAGCAAAGAGCACAGATCAACCACTTTGTCCCAGCTTGAGAGCCTTTCAATGGAAAGGAACTAACCACCTAGTATTGAACTATCAAGAAACTAGAGCTGAAAAATGAGATCTATAATTAATCAGATCTTACAGGAGGTCACTACATCAGTGACAATGTACGACCAAAGTGTGAATTGCAAGTGATGTGCCAGTTCCTTTCAAGCTGAATGTCCGCCAGTCTAATGGATTTCAAAACACCAGTAACACGAGTCAAGGATGTCAAGATTAGTCACGGATTGTTACAAGTTAGATAACTAATGAAAATAAGCTAGTAAGGAACAGTCGTTTCGTCCTTGTTTGGGGAACTTCATCCGCAATCAATGATCCTCCGACTGATGTCCTTCTGTGATCAAACCGATCAAACCCCAACAAACTAACACTTGATATTTAGTTCGACATTAATTAGTGACTGACTACTGGACGAAGTTGCTCGGAGTTCCTGTGAGAAGTCGTGACCAGAAGGGTCTACCAGGTCAGATGTGAGGACAAATACTCGCAGATGGCACTGGCCAGTTATTAGTCTATACATTTCACAGTTGCAGAAACTCGAATTATTGGCACTGCCATTCGATTCCGTCTCAGTATCTGATTGGTCAACTGACTTGCCTAGTAACCTGAAGGTGCTGATTCCAGTCGCCTGTCGGGTAATGGATGAGTACTAATGAAGAGTCTGTTCTTAATTGGGATGGAACAGGTGTCTACTACTCCCTGGTTTTCAGTTTGTGATCTAATTTGAAACCAATCAATGATTTCCCGGCAGTTGTCACTTTTCACCTCAAATCTGTTGAACATTATGTCTCCTAGTATGACTATCATATTATAAAATTAATCATTCCGACTTGTTTCACGATAGCGACTTATAACACAGTGTTGATTTTCCTTAAAGAAACAAGTGATGGCTGAAAACCAATAGAAGACCTGTGTCTCAGAAGAATTTGAATTCTCAGTCTCTCTATTCCAAGGTCTATGTGTTACTTACTGACCGATTACACCTAACTGCTAATTGGGTAGCAAGAGAATGTCTGTTGTCGGTGATACGGTGGTTACATATTAGACCACGAAACATCTGCTGTCATCTGTTCAAATGTTAAAAGCCTTCGGGATAATTGTCATTTAAAAGAAATGCCTATTTACAATAAAACCTGAATATTTATGGTTCATTAAATTCTTCATTGTGGAAGATACTACTAACTGAAAGTAGTAGTGTATAAGTAATCACCAGTAATTACTCATGAATACACAAAAAAATTTGTAATGCATATTTTAGTTAAAAGTTTAGTTAATAAGACGCAATTGAAAGTAACTATTTCTTCAGCAAATTAGTAAAGATGTTCTCATTAGGGCTGGAAACTAGAGTCCATCATCTCAAGAGCCTGAGGGGGAACAACTCCCAACTAGGATGTAAAGTAAATCGTGGATTCTACTGCTAGCCACCACTAACCAACTATCACAGTGGTAATCTTATAGCATTGTCCAAAAGTTCTCTTCCAGGAATCAGCACATCAAGGAAGACCAAGCATTTCGGTGCAATAAATGCATAAAACAGGAAACTCAAAAATGAGAAGTTCAACAAATAATTGTGTGAGTTGATAAGTCTTCTCGTGTTAGGATTGTAGATATGAATGTACATCTTAAGTGTAGATGTTCCATTCACTAAAAGAGTGGTCCTATACTCCATCTTAAGAATGGAAAGTTTAGTCTAATATGTATATCAATGAAGAGTAATGGCAAATGGATCGAGGAATAGCCAAATTTGAACGTCTACGAACTTCTGGATGGTAAAGCAGTGATTTAGTGATAATAATTTCAAAACAAGTGATTCAGCGAAGAGACTCTTTTCAACGAATTTATCATCAAGCTGTACAGTCGTATATATATGGTTTATCAGAAGTTATATCCGGTGTGGGAATTGAATCTTAGGTGTGAATGCATAAAATAATTATAATAATAATAATATGAAGTTCAATTAAAACTAAAATGTTTGTGATTATAATCGTAGTTAAATGTCAAATGGCAAAGCAAATTAATGTCATATATAGAATAATTCATAGGATGGATGGAACTTGGAAAAGGATGTGCAATTATAGGATTAGTAGACAAGTCGAATAAAACAAAAACGTTATGTAATATTGTGTGAAATTTAATAGCATAGAATTCAACGTTGGAAAAAAAAAGAATTGATTTAGAATGACAAGTGGAACAAGTGAAATAATATCGGGGACATTTCAAAGTGAGAATAGTAATAATAACAATTGACTTAATAAGGAAGAGTATACAAATTGAATAGACAAAATGAAAAAATGAAAAATTGGTGGAGCTAAAATATGATTGGGGATTACCATATTTTATATTCTTTTTTTCCAACGTTGAATTCTATGCTATTAAATTTCACACAATATTACATAACGTTTTTGTTTTATTCGATTTGCCTACTAATCCTGTAATTGGACACCCTTTTTCAAGTTCTATCCCTCCTATGAATTATTCTATATATGACATTAATCTGCTTTGCCACTTGACATTTAACTACGATTATAATCACAAACATTTTAGTTTTAATTGAACTTCATATTATTATTATTATTATTATTTTATGCATTCACACCTAAGATTCAATTCCCTCACCGGATATAACTTCCTAAAAAAAACCATATATTTATACGACTGTACAGCTTGATGATAAATTCGTTGAAAAGAGTCTCTTCGCTGAATCACTTGTTTTGATTTTCTAAATGTTACAATGGGAATTTTCCATGGGATAATAATTTCACACTTTGGGTTAAAGATGCCCACAGGCGAACAGTTTTAAAATGGAACAAACGACCGTCCAGTGTTTATATCTGGCTAGTGATCAATACTGTTTGATGTGGGTGGTATTTAACTGCTCATATCAACCCTCCGACGAAATCAGAGGTCCTGAATGCAATCAAGATGCTAAAAGCCGGAAAAGCAGCAGGACCAGATGAAATCCCAGCAGAAGCATTGAAAATGGACCCAGAGACAACAGCGAACTTGATGACGCCATTACTGGAGAAGGTGTGGAAAGAGGGCAAAGTACCCGAGGATTGGAAGAAAGGATACTTATTTAAACTACCAAAGGAAGGAAACTTTAGTCAATGCAGAAACTGGCACGGAATTATGCTCCTGTGCATCCCAAGCAAAGTACTAAGCCGCATCATCCTGGAGAGAATCAAACAAGCCTTAGATGAAAAACTTCGACCGGAAAAGGCTGTATTCAGGAGAAACAAGTCATGTATTGATCAAATCGCCACACTACGGATCATCACTGAACAAAGCTTGGAATGACAGTCACCTCTCTATCTCAACTTCATCGACTTTCAAAAGGCAGCATCGATCGGGAGGTGATTTGGAAACTACTTCGCTACTACGGGGTGCCATCGACAATTATACATCTCATCCAACAGTTATACGACAATGTGGCATGCCAAGTAATCCACAACGGGAAACTTACGGAAGCCTTCGAAGTAAGACGGGAGTGAGACAAGGCTGCCTACTATCACCAATGATTTTCCTGATTGCAGTAGATTGGATAATGCAACAAACAGCGGGTAATGAGGAAAAAGGCATAAAATGGACTCACACAAAAAGAGACTTGGAGGATCTGGACTTCACCGATGATATATGTCTGATTTCCCGCAAACTGGGAGATATGTAAGTGAAAAGCAACAAGTTGGTAGTAGAAGCATCAAAGAGAAAACAGAAGTGATAAAGATTCCTGGACAACACCAACAGCAACAACAATAGACAACAAGCAGCAAAAATGGGAGGAACCTGAAAGAAACAACCTCCTTTACCTACCTGCCTGGGAAGCATCGTTTCAACTACAGGCGGAACTGACGAGGATATCAAAGCCAGAATCGGAAAAGCAAGACAGGCTTTCATAACTCTTAAGTCTGTGTGGAATTCAACAGCACTCAGCATCAAAAATAAGATCCGGATTTTCAACTCCAATGTAAAGTCAGTGCTTCTATACGGATCAGAGACTTGGCGAGTCATAAAGAGCACCTCAAACAAACTCCAGACCTTCATCAACAGTTGTCTTCGCTCAATACCACTCAAGATCAGATGGCCGGCCAGAAAAGATCATCAACAGGGATCTCTGGAAGCGAACCAACTCAGCAGGAACCGATTGTGAAACAAATAGGCAGGAAGAAGTGGAGATGGATTGGCCATACCCTGGGGAAACCATCAAGTGACATCACTAGACAAGCCATTGCTTGAGTGAAACCCGAAAGAGAAGCGTTGAGTTGGTCGTCAATGCAAGGGTGACTTGGAGGAGGTCATGCGAAGAGGAGATGAAAGCATGTGGGCAGACTTGGAGCGGGATGAAAAAGTTGGCAGAAAACAGAAGGCAATGGAGGTGCGCAGCTGAAGCCCTTTGTTCCTCTAGGAACAAAAGGATAATATAATATGATATATAATAATAATCAACCAGTAGTACATACCGTCATGTATCGATGCATTGCTTCCTTGACTGCTATCTATGATATCAAACAGATCCAAAGCACTGCGATCTGAATAATTTCGGTTTCTTAAAGAAACAAAGGTGAAATATTACCTCAGACTGTGTGATCTGCGAAATGTGAATTTGTTTGTCACTTAAACTTTCCTTTATTGATGATATTGAGTGGTAAGACTGTCAGTGAAACACATTCTAGATGAGAAACTTTAATCAGATCTCATTGTTTCTAGGGGAAATCATTCGACTGACTCAATTCAGTCATGATGAATGTAGTAATCAATTTGCACTTAACAATTAACAACGTCAAAAATAGTTCTTACCTCAGACCATTGATTGAATCCATATGGATAACCCGATGATTTACCATATTTGTCTTGGAATTGTTCAACATGAATCATGATTATTGAACTTTGTAAACAGAATCCTATAAGAAAAAATGCACGAAATCACATAACAGACCATTACATTTCGTAGATTTACATGTGTTTATAATGAAAGACTTAGTTAGCTCATAGAAGTAACACAAAGCTTATTTACACCACAGTACACTTCTTGTTATGACTTGGTAGCAGTCTGTCAGTAACTGGTGTATTCACCATCTTGGAGAAGCATTAGCTCTTCGAATAAAGCAAGAACAACAGTTTTTACAGAATAAAATGATACCATCATTTAGTTCGTTGGCTTCTCATCAGTTGCTTACAGGCCAAAGTCATTATTAAGTATAGCTACAGACACATTTTTAACATACTTGCAGAGAGTTCATTTTTAAACAAAAAATCAACCAACTAATATATGCATATAGTAATAATATATATATATATATATAATATTAAGCAATATTCCTAACAATAATGATTATACACAAAGGAAAATTTTGGCATTACGTGTTCAGATGAAAGAGAGATGAAAATATCCAGTGACCAAGGCGAAGAAAGACTGACAACTGCTTCTTTCTGAACGCCCCAGACGATAACTGCTACCTTGTCGTGGTGGTCGGGCTTGAATACCGTAATGTGACCCAACATGCTACACTGACTGGGACACTGTCCCTCCAGGTCCTACCATGTCAGGAAGGTTGTTTGGATAGCGGTTAAACTAAAAGCAGTCACCATGGGGTACATGGGCTCCAGTATCCAATCGGATCAAATGGCGTATGAATGGCGTATGGGTCACCAGCAACCATGGGAATGCAGCTCCTGACGCTGCTCTGCTGCCTTACAAATTAGACTTCAAGTCAAAGGCTCGGGGAGTGGTCCCTTAATAAAACCACCTGCTTCGGTCTGGGTGCCCGGGCAGTATCTCAGCCCTCACACAATTAATTGAATAAAGCAACAAACAATCTATGAAACTTATCGCGTGCTATTACACGTGTTGCAACTTCCTTCTTTCTTCCTTATCCGATGATAGTTAACGAACACTGTTTGAACTTGTTTTGCATGACTGTTTTCCTTCCAGATGAAGTTCTTTATCCGTTCTCTACTTATATATATTTTTTCTCTTCTTTCTTTTGATTTATGTTGTTTTATTATTATTGTGTGGCACATCCTTCTTGGTGCCATATTGTACCAAGTTTTATGCGTTTAAATAAATAAATAAAAAACAAGTAATCTTTTTGAATGCATAAATCAGGTTTCAGGCGCTTGATGGAGATCGCTTCTGCAGACTTGAGGAGAATTGAACTCTTTTGCCGATTGATTACTTTGAACGATCTTGTGACGTCCGCCTCATGACCCGTATCAAGAAGATGCCTGGCGACGGCACTGTTTAAAGAATTTGTTCCCTTTAGATGTAAGCTTTTTGGTACATGTTCAGAAAATCGTAGGTTTGCCTTTCTTTCTGTTTTTCCAATGTGACTGCTCCCGCGGATGCATGTAAATTTGTATACATAGTTGGAGGTAACATGAGAAGGATATCTATCGATTTTTGATTGCACCAAAGAGCAAGTTGTTCGATAGATGGGGACGACCTACAGGATTAGCTCTGGTTAGTGACGAACTCAGTATTCTGTTGACCATTGCTATACTATTTTCACCTTAAAAATCAAGTTGAATGTAGATTGGCTTTCTCCACTGTGATTTGCTTGACATCTGAGATTTCAGATCTTCCGTACCTGTTAATGAACCTTTGAAGGTAACCGTTGCTTTTCAACAACTTTTCGAGAAACATAAATTCTTTCTCTAATTTTTCCATAGAGCATAATCTCCTAGCTATGTAGTATAGAGTCTTGACTAGTCCATGTTTATAGCTATTTGGACAAAAACTATTACAATATAGGTATTGTCCTTTCCATGTAGGCTTTCGGTAAATTGCTTCTGAAGACTACCATCTTCTAGGCGTTGTATGGCAGTGTCGAGGATTTGGAGTTATATCATTCACTCGTGAAACTTATAGACCTCAAGGAAAAATTTCATATTTCTTGTAGACAAAGTATTTCATATGACGTCTTCCAGAAAGTACATGAAAGCAACAGTCAGACCTGAGATAGAATCCCAATACAAAAAAAAGTTTCTTTCTGCCTCCACATACTTAAAATTAGGTAATAATAAACTGTTTTATGATTACTGTATGGAAAGCTTGAAAGTGAAATAAAGCTGTGATGAACACTCGATAAATTACTTCACTATACTTATGCATAAGTGGTTCACTTGTAGAATACTTAGCAACTGCACACGTGGTCACTATTTTGTTCCTTTCCAAGCTTGGTTCACTAGCTGACATCAAGCTGGGAGAAGAGGAATAGTTGGCCATGAAGCAATCAATCCAACCTTATAGAAATAAAGCTTAAATTCTCATGCTCTAATTGGTCAATCACCTTACTAAATTACAGCATCTAAACAGTTTTAAATGCTGAAGAGAAAAGGAGTTATTTCCACTTGAAACTCATTTATTCCAAGGAAGCGTCAGTTTCTTCGGGTTTGTAGATACGTCAGTAAGTATGGAACCAACCATGTACATCAAGGATAAAGGGAGGTGTCATATGAACTAAACAGTATTTAGGCTAAATCAGCTTCTCTTTGATAAATCATTCTTGAAAAGGAGATATTATTTTTGGATGCAAAACAAGTAAGTTCTCTCCTAAAAGTGTCCACAAACTGATAACTACGATGGTTATTATTCGGAAACTTACTGCATTTCAGTTCTTTCGCGGTGTATGCTACTGATAGGGATATATAAGTAGTACACGGTGTAATGAATCCACTGAAAGGCACAAACACACCAAGGACTGATGGATTTTCAAAAACAAGACAAGCTGAGAGAATCAGTTATCAGTAATAGACTCTACTGAATAAAGACAAAGTGAAAGAGGTTGAAGAAAAAAGAGCCTTAGTTATGTGTGCAAATTAAATTTTTAATCTAAGGTTGACATATTTTATTATGAAGCTGTTTTGCTGAATATGACCCAGTCGATATTTAGGGAATGATCCACTCTGTACGAAGAAAGGTCCCTGATAATCCATTAAAATCCAATCCCCTCTTAAATTGTTTCAGTGATCCAAAGGAAAATTATATTTTCGTGGGGCATAGAATACTTGCCAGTTACCTCCAACCATCTGAAACGAATTTCGTGTGAGGACAAATACTCGCCGAAGACATTGGTTAGGGGTCCCGCTATGTCGTGCATTGGCAGAAGTTAGAATTCATGGACTGCCCACTGGATTGGGTTCCAGTGGCTTAATGCTGTACGAGCTCGCCTTATAACCAGAAGGCCCTGGGTTCGAACCCTAATGGGGTGGATGCGTACCGTTGAAGAGTTCCAAACTAGGTGGACGAAACAGCTTTCCAGTACTCCCAGGTTTTCCAATGGTTCTCTAACTGATATCAGCTCATGATGAAATCCTGTAACCAATCAAATCCCTACAAATCAACACTTAAATTTCGTTTTATTGATGTTCACTTTGTATTCATGTGCTTTATTCTTCTATAATTGAAAGTAGTGAATTCAGTTGGTGGCTCAGTGATCTTTCCCAGTTGGTCATGAACGTGGTCTGGATTCGTTTCTCGACCAACGGATGCACACCTAACCATTTCCTGGTTTACTAGTTGACAGTTAACCTGGATTGTTGTGGTGTTAGTCACCCTAACCCACTGACAGGTAGAGCCTCAACACTAAACTTCAAGATCCATGTATCTCACTCGAAACATAAGGATTGAAAAAGGGCAAAATTTAAAGGCCATTTAACAATGTTATTGCTGAAATGCAAAAAAAAGAAATGGAGTAAGTGATTTCAACATCTAATTATATTGAATTATTTTACTTTTACAAATTCATTTATTTTAAATTATTGAACACTTACCAGCTAACATTAAAAATATACCAATAAGTAATCGCCAGATTTGAAAGCATCTATTATCGGTCTCTTTTTTGTACCAGACAATAATTAGTGCCAGTGCAGCAATAAAGCATATACACATTATAATTATTCCAATTGCATGCATAGCCAATTCAGCAAGACGTAAATCTAGTCAAAAAGAAATGGTATTGGTAAAATCAGTATCATATTATCATAAACTCCCAACAAAATAACAAGTGCATTATTACATACTATCTACCAGTTTATTGAGTGTCTTTTAATTTCTTAAAGATTGGTGTCAGTGTCTTCTTGAAGATGGATAGAAGTAGAATGAATGGTTTCACTGCAGTCAACATTGAACACTGAACACAGAACAACCCATTTAAACAAAATCACGGTTCTCCTGAAATGCACCTTATCTTCTCACTGAGTAATAAAATAAAAAACAAAATCTTGTCGGATGTGTAGTGAGGTCTGCCGAAAGGAATAATGTCTTTTCAGTCATCTGTGTTTCACATAAGGCATGAGATAAGATTGTACGTTTCCCAATTATTTGGAGACCATACCTCATTCAACTAGACAACGTGTCTAGCAGCACTGACTTGTATTCAGTTTTGTCTGCATGTATATACCTCCTCCACACTTCCCTTCAAATTGATAAATTGACTCTGAAAGTTGGAAAAGGAGAATCGCTGAAAGTCATAAAACAGTGCAGGTCTGTTTCATTCTTGTTTAGGCATATCCATCAGTGCACATTGACAACCCCAGTAGTGGTGAAACCCACCACATTGAGGTTATGCAACAAACCCTTTTAACATTCAGCAGATGATTTGTGCATTTTAAATTATGCCGATTTACGATACATTATTATTATTATTATCTTGAGTTCTGAGTAGAACATAGGGTTTCAACAACATATCTCCACTTTGTTCTATTCTCTGCTGTCCTTTTCAGCTGGGTCCACGATTGCCAATAGTCTCCCATCCTCTCCTCGCCAAAGGACCTCCTCCAGGCCACCCTCGAACCGACGACCCAGTCGTCGCGTCCCATTTGGATTTCACTCGAGTGATGGCCTGCATTGAGCTCGATGTCATTTAACAGCCTCCCCAACGTATGCCCAACCCATATCCATCCATCTCCTACATATCTGCCGAGTGATCGGATTTTGGTTTGTTTGTTCCCAGCCCAGCAAGAGTTTTTTTTTGCTGCTAATTCTTTCTCACCAGCTGGTCATTTGATCTTCAGTATGGAGCCAGCGAACTTGGCTGTTGATAAAAGTCCGTAAATCCTTTTTGTGACTGACACACACACTGCAGGTTTCTGACCAGTATAGGAGAACTGATTGACTGAATTCACATTTGCGTTGAAAATCCGAATCTTCTTCTTCATGCTGTCTGAGTAAATGGAGAACATTTCGAAACCGGTTTCACGTTGATGAAGACCTATCTTGACCTGCCACTTCTGGTTGGCTGACTGGCTTTGACGTCTTCACACGTAATGCCCACCCCCAACTGAAACGATAAGTGCAGGAAGTAACCTCTTTCAAATCTCTCCCGTTGATGGTCACTGGTGCTTGTCGTTGTCATTGCTGTCACTTGGTTATCTTCATTACCTGCATCTTCTTTATGTTTACCTAAAGTCTTGTCTTTGCTGCTTCTTCAGAGATACAATACAGCACCATTATTATTATTCATTTTGAGCTTTCCTCACACCATACATGATGGTACCAAGAAGTCAGTGGAAGTGAGTTTAGTATTTACCTCGTAAGATCAAAGATTTAAGTCCAATTCATGGTCAGATCATAAATGTGCACTTGTGATGATTACCGGACGATGAAGAAACAATTATCCAGTGTGCAAAGGCTTTTAATGATATTCTAACTAAAATCGGTTAGGGACAAAACCTACTTTCAAACCGGACAAATTTCCGCAAAACCAATGTTTGAGTATATATATATATATACATATTCTCGTAAACTTTTCAATTGTTGTACAGTGGATGAATACAGCTAGTTAAGATTACCATTCCAGATTATTTGAATGTAACCAATCTTACTTAGCAAGTGCGTTAATATTCAGCTGGTGGCTTTGAATCTATTTGCTATCATGAATTCTAATATCGGCCTACTGAGAATGTAGCCCTACCGCCAACAGATTAGAAATATGCTTGAGTTCATCAATAATTGCTTAAAAATGATAGCTAATGTTCTCCTGAAGTTATTGAAAGTCTGTCGATTTGTAAAACAGCTGTACAGTACTCCCTGGCTGGTTTTCAATGGTTCTCTAGCTGATATCAATCCATGATCAACTCGTAAAAACAAAACTAACCCTTACAAACCAAACTACAGATAAAACAGCGTTATAAATGTCATCATTTCAGCAATCTGTTGAAAATGTTAGTTTGTTAGATATACTTCATATTAGAATATAGAGACATCAAACAAAGCAAAACTAAAGACTGAAAAACTCTTCGGGTATATTTCAGTCTTGGCATAATTCAGGTGGTTTGAATGGATTCGCCTATCTAGTTTGATTAGAGTATATACAGTTACATCATTTATGAGATCAGTCAAAAATAAGTGAAATGATAATCCAGCGTTCAGGTCACTTTGATTTCGTGAGTAGTCAATGTTAGTTAACATGAGTTGTTTCCAAATACTCAAATTGATCAATAGTTTGTGCCGTCAATTAAATCTAATTCCCTTTAGAGAAATAGTAATAAACTTGTAGTTAGAGACGTATTATTCTTCATGAAGATTGTAATATACTTATTATGCGTTCCTTGGTCTCCAAAGTCGAACATAGGGCTTTAACAGAACATCTCAAGTTGATTCTGTTCTTTGCTGTCAGTTTCAGCTGCCTCAACGCCTTCATAAAGGTCTCCTCCATGCTACCATAGACGCTTACCCATCGTTTCTTATTCTGGTTCCACTTGACAGTCTGGCATGTGTGATGTTGTTCAAATATCCCCTCATCATATGTCCAATCTACCTCCATTTCCTTGGGCATACTTTTCTGACAATTAGGTGTTTGTTGACTGGTTGCCTGATAAAGGTTCTTGTTACTTACTCTTTTTTGTAACCCGCCATCTGATCTTCAATATCAAGAGAAGACGTCTGTTGAAAAAGTGCCTTTAGCAGTTTGTTGGTGTATGCCTTATAACATAACTAGCAAATTACTAGTATCCTAATCGATATCAAGCCAGTTTTTTGATTTCTAAAGGAGATAAAACTTTGTTTGTAGTATACTACCTAGAAGGTAACAGAATCTAACTTATTTCCATGTTTTTCTTTGATGGTGGCATGTTTCATCCTGCTTTGGATTCGTCAGATAAATATACTTGTATTCCAGTTAATGACATACATTTTTACAGTGGATACAGTTTATTTCCATAGCCGTCCCATGTACCAACTTGTAAAACGCGATCGTCGACAGGCACTTGGACTCATGTGAAAAATGGGCTAAATCCATTCTATCTAACTCACAGCATCACCGGCTTCATTCACAACTCTCCCCCCTTGTATCTCATCAGGCAGAACCAGAAGCCTAAATAGAAAACTATATGCTCTCACTGGTAAGTACAAAAACTCATCCATACCCTACTTAGCTCGCGTTCTGTGCGATAAAGAAAGCATTAGGCGTGAAACCTTTAACTTATTAAATAGTCAGTAGAACAACTGGATCTCGTCTTTCCAACTCATATCATTTATAGGTACAACGTTTTTCTTTCTTTCTTTTCCTTTCCTCTCTCTATTTTTGTGTTATGTGCAGCTTTGTTTCTCTCTTCTGCTTACGCCAGTAAATATGCTAGCATCTACTTTTCTAACACCTTCAAACACTCTGTTCAATTTCGGCTTTGCTATCGACATGCTAATATGTTGTTGTCAAAACTAACCGAGGTTACCCTTAATCTATGTAGAATTTTATCTATTTATTGATAATGTACTAACTGGATACAATATTGTTGTAAAATGTTGAGAATTCCATTCTGTATCACAAGTACTGTTTCGGAATAAAGCAAATTATTATCATTATCTAGCATGGTTAGCAAAAGGAGAACGAAGACGTGTATATAATTCAGTGACAGAACATCTTGTCAACTTAGGAAATTCAGCGCCATTCGAAAAATCCTTCAAAATGCTATACGAGATTCGATCAGACCTATCAAAGGGATTAAAATCAAGATATCTGGGCATGGCCTTGGCACTGGCCATCCAAAAACTCAAAACCACGCTATGTATCCAAAAGAAATACGTCCAACCCTTGTCCTTGCCATGGTCATCATAAACAGATAACTCTTAATAGTGACTATCCCATTAATTTTCTTAACCAAACTTCCTGTTTATTCACATTATTCTTAAGTTCTTCTTAATCCCTATTTACACTAACCTATTTTCATATCCTGCCTATTTTGTCGTTTTATTATTTCTACATTTCTAACTCCTAATTGCACAATATGTCAATCTTCTCAGTAATCATGATTCTACCTTGTTTGAGTTTTATCCGCTCTACCTGTTTATTATGGCATTTTAATTCGTAATTGTAATTTTGTTAATTTGATCCTTGACGTGAAAGTCTATTCTGGAACTTTCTCACAAATTTATTATGGACCCATGAATATACAGTTTAGTTAATGACTCCATCGGAAAGAAAATTTTCTTTGCTGCAACCGTCTTCTTCTTATTCTCTATGGTCAAATGTGTATATTGCGTGATATTTGATTTTTTCTTTTTCTTTCGAGTGATCACCTATTCACTACTTTGCCTGACTGAAGAAGAAAGTAGAATAAACAATATAAAATGAACCAAGGTACTACAGAGGCTCAGAATTCATCTATCTGTCTACCTCTTTCCCTTCTGTTACCCTGTCTCAAATTATACACTAAACAGCACTCGAATTCACATAACAACAAGGTTTCTTTATTGATCACATAATACATCCGTGTTCGCTAAAGCATGAATTCTTTTCCATTAAAATAAAACGTATTAAATGAAAAAGGAATTAAAGGGGAAAACAAGGTTGCATTTATTCCCTGATATTAGTGAAACTCATTAACTCAAGATTATATTCATTTTGCTTATTAATAAAAACTCTCGTTTCTGTAAAATTTTATGCCAAGAGTTTGTGGAAACTATCACAATTATTTACCTTTCGAACACTGAATCCAACAAATACAATCTTATTGACAGATAATACATATAACTAACTATTTGGATTTGTGGAATTTTTAAACATAAACACATCTATAATTGTATATATTGTTGGATTTACATGTTCAAGTTGCTCCAAGTCAGTGAGTTTATGGTTGAGATATCATTTTAGTTAACTGTGCTGAACTATATTGCATGTTGTTGTATTGTATAGTTGTTGTCGCTTTTTGCCCTTTTTTCTGTGAACTGTTTCCTTTGTTGATGTTGTTCTCATTGTTTGTCCGTTATTTTCTGATTTTGAGGGGAGCAACCCAAAAAGTCGCTTCTCTCTAAACTTTAACTTAATGTAATCATTCCTTTCTCAGGCGTGAGGCTAGCAACCCCACCCTGTAAACAAAATTGCTAAAGAAACTTCAGTATGATGAACCTCTTTGCACCAAAAGAAAAAGTCTGTGTGGGAACATGGAACGTCCGAACTATGTACGAGACTGGGAAAGCTGCCCAGATCGCCAACGAGATGAAAAGATACGGAATACAAGTGCTGGGAATATGTGAAAGCAGATGGAATGGGAGTGGACTCACCAAATTGTCAACGGGTGAGTCAGTGATCTACTCCGGTCACCCAGAAGATAACCACACGCACACCGAGGGCGTGGCTATCATGATGTCACCAACGGCAACGAAAGCCCTGATACAATGGGAGGCGATTTCGTCCAGGATAATGACCGCCAGATTCAACTCCAAAGGAAGGAAAGTGTCAATCATACAATGTTATGCACCCACAAACAACGCAGACCTCGAAAAGAAAGAAGAATTCTACAGGCAACTACAGGCAACAATGGACAATACTCCAGCTGGCGACATGAAAATACTAATGGGAGACATGAACGCCAAACTGGGACCAGACAACTCAGGAAGGGAACTCATCATGGGTAGAGAAGCTCTAGGAGAAATGAATGAAAACGGAGAACTCTTCGCCGACTTCTGCGCCTTCAACGAACTAGTGATTGGTGGCAGTGTATACAAGCACAAAGATATCCACAAGGCTACATGGGTGTCACCAGACGGGCAAACCAAAAACCAAATCGACTTCATCTCAATCTCAAGGAAGTGGAGGCGCAGCCTACTGGACACAAAAGCAAGAAGAGGAGCAGACGTTGGCTCAGACCACTATCTCGTACAAGGGACAATCCAAATCAAATTAAAAGCTTTCAGGGAATCAGGAGCTGCAGATAGACCACAAGCCAAGTTCAACACTCAAAAGCTGAAGGACCAGGCTACAAAGGACATCTTCATTGCAAGCATAAAGGACAAAGCCGAGACACAAATCAACACCAGCGAAAAGGTCAGCGTCGAAAAGCACTGGAACAACTTGAAAACGGTGTGGAGTCAAACCTGCATAGAAATTCTAGGCAGAAAAAAGAGACAGGACAAACAGTGGCTCACTACGGACACTTGGAAACTAATAGAAGAGAGAAGGACAGTGAAACAAAAGATTATCCAGTGCACTGACGAGCAACAAAAACAGGAGCTGAATGCAAGCTACAATACACTGAACAAAAGAGTGAAGAAGAGTGCCAGGGAAGACAAAAGAAAATATTATGAAACCATGGCAAACGAAGCAGAACAAGCTGCAGGCAAAGGAGACCTCGCCACACTCTACCAAACAACTAGGCACCTTTCGGGCAAACGTTCGACACAGATTAAGCCAATAAAGGACGACAATGGAAAGTCAATCACCAAAGAGGTGGAACAGAGAAAGCACTGGGCTGAACACTTCAAAAGACTTCTAAATCGTCCGCCACCTACAACGCGCCCAACAATACCAACAACGGAAGCAGAACTACCAGTGAACACTGACCCCCGACGAAATCAGAAGTCCTGAATGCAATCAAGATGCTAAAAGCTGGGAAAACACCAGGACCAGATGGAATCCCAGCAGAAGCTTTGAAAATAGACCCAGAGACAACAGCGGACTTGATGACGCCACTACTGGAGAAGGTGTGGAAAGAGGGCAAAGTACCCGAGGATTGGAAGAAAGGATACTTATTCAAACTACCAAAGAAAGGAGACTTAAGTCAATGCAGAAACTGGCACGGAATTATGCTCCTGAAAAAAAAAAAAAAAAAAAAAAAAAAAAAAAAAAAAAAAAAAAAAAAAAAAAAAAAAGGTGAAAAACTTCGACCGGAATAGGCCGGATTCAGGAGAAGCAAATCATGTATTGATCAAATCGCCACTCTACGAATCATCATTGAACAAAGCTTAGAATGGCAGTCACCTCTCTATCTCAACTTCATCGACTTTCAAAAGGCAAAAAAAAGCATCGATCGAGAGGTGATTTGGAAACTACTTCGCTACTATGGGGTGCCATCGACAATTATACATCTCATCCAACAGTTACAGGACAATGCTCCGTGCCAAGTAATCCACAACGGGAAACTTATGGAAGCCTTCGAAGTAAGGACGGGAGTGAGACAAGACTGCCTACTATCACCAATGATTTTCCTGATTGCAGTAGATTGGATAATGCGACAAACAGCGGGAAACAATGAGGAAAAAGGCATAAAATGGACTCACACAAAAGAGTTGGAGGATCTGGAATTCACCGATGATATATGTCTGATTTCCCACAAACTGGAAGATATGCAAGTGAAAAGCAACAATCTGGCAAAAGAAGCATCCAAGATAAGACTTCAAGTGAACATAGATAAAACAGAGGTGATGAAGATTCCTAGCCAACTGCAACAACAACAACAATAGACAACAATCAGCATAAATGGGAGGAACCTGAAAGAAACAACCTCCTCTACCTACCTGGGAAGCATCGTTTCAACTACAGGCGGAACTGACTAGGATATCAAAGCCAGAATAGGAAAAGCAAGACAAGCTTTCATTACTTTCAAGTCTGTGTGGAGTTCAATAGCACTCAGCATCAAAAGTAAGATCCGGATTTTCAACTCCAATGTGAAGTCAGTGCTACTATACGGATCAGAGACCTGGCGCTTCATAAAGAGCATCTCAAACAAACTCCAAACCTTCATCAACATTTGTCTTCGCTCAATACTCAAGATCAGATGGCCGGAAAAGATCAGCAACAGGGATCTCTGGGAGCGAACCAAGCAGGAACCGATTGTGAAACAAATAGGCAGGAAGAAGTGGAGATGGATTGGCCATACTCTGAGAAAACCATCAAGTGACATCACTAGACAAGGCATCGCTCGAGTGGAACCCGACAGGGAAGCGGCGAGTTGGTCGTCAATGCAAGGGTGACTTGGAGGAGGTCATGCGAGGAGGAGATAAAAGCATGTGGGCAGACTTGGAGCGGGGTGAAAAAGTTGTCAGAAAACAGAAGGCAATGGAGGTGCGCAGCTGAAGCCTTATGTTCCTCTATGAACTAAAGGATACAATAATAATAATATTCTTTTACATCCTTAGAAATTTTCGCTTTCTCGTATTTTACAATTTACAAAAAAATAAAAATAAAACGTACTTGTCATTAGACTTGAAAATTCATCATTCACTAGATTTGGATTGCGATACTGACACGTATTATCTGTAAAGATCAATAATAATAATAATCATAACTATTATTGTTATTATTGCTTAGTAGGTGCTTATCAAGGGTGAAGCGAGATCTCAGATCATGATAAAATTAAAACCACAAACCTCCGAAATCTTATTCTCAGTCTTTTAACTCAACAAGTACAGTGGTCATTTAACAATCTGAAGGACATCAGTTCGTTTCTTACCGCCGCCGAAGTCTTGTAATTTCACTTTTATTCATCATCCAGGACTATTTGAAATAGTCTCATTATTTTCTATTATTATCAAAGATATCAAAAAGGAATTGATTAATGTGAATGGTGACTGTTGAATTGTCAGTAGCGAAAATCCTTCGACTTTTCGACTACGCAAACTTCTTCTTCTTTCCTAAATACTGAATTAATGCCTCCGTGGAAATACTTCCAAACAGAGTTTTGATGCAGTCTTCTTGAAGTGTACAGAATGAGACGGAATGTTCTCGTTAAGTTATTCACCACCTTATAGTATTAATAGTCTGTACTTCTGATATTTTCATGTAATCTGACTAATACAACACCTTTTTTTTATTCTTTGCATCCTGAAGGAAATATAGGGCTTCAAGGTTCAGGGTTTTGAAGTTTCAGCAATGGTGGTACTGTTTATTTTACACGAAAGGATGATTAGATTATACTTAGCCTTCCCTTTTTTCAAGCTTTCTGTTGACTAGTTAGGTAAGTGAGAATTTTATGAGTGTATCAACCGGGAATCGAAAGCTGATCACATGCATGGTTGGCGATGATTCTAACACGGAACAACCGACGCACAATACATTGTTTAATCGAAATATTGTTAATATCACTGTTTAACATTTTCTGCAATATATGTATGTAAGCCTAAAAGATGTGTGACTGCAGTCAGTGGAAAATGCTTAGATGCACTTCACTTCAACGAATAATCTCTGTGTAGAGAATACTAAGATCTGAGATAAACACATACGTTGTTCAAATACTTGTATTCTATTATTATTTTTTATCTTGTAGACAGTGTGTCATGTTACGTGCGCGATTTATGAGTGCAGGTTTGTCGAGGACGAACCGGAGAGATTTCCGGTAGTAGAAAAGTTGATAGAAAGACGTTGGCATCATAGTACAGTATACTTCCATCGTAGGCAATCACACAGTACTAGTTAAATGCACGGCCTTTTGGAGGACATTTGCTAGCCTATAATCACACCAGTGAAGGCCTTTAGAACTTTAGCATCTCATCTCCAGCATTTGTCAATGAATTTGTACCATATCCCTGGAGAAGATATGGCATCATTTTGCACTGTATAAGTAAGGTAATGATTCAACAAGGAATGGTTGTGTAGCAGACCTGTCTTTCCATCTAACGACAGTCACTTTGAACACCTATCTGTCTAACTCAGTCAAAACTTTTCTCCTGATTGCGTATCAGTTTAGCTTTACCTCCCATATTCATGACATAGAAATTAAACTATGAAAAACCCGCCATTGAACGTTACTCAAATTTTATATTCTTTGTGTTCCACTAGGAACTGAAGTTCTGAGCTCTTAAGTTGCAGTCGAGCTGGAGTCGCTAGCCTTACAGTCAACCTTCCCCATAGTTAGAACTAACTGTCTTCTTGTAAACTAGGAGAAGTTCAGGAGTATGTTTTATTTTATTTTGATTTTATTTTGATTTACAGCTTGATTCCACACTGTATTTTGGGTACAAGTATGGAATTTTCAGCATGGATATCGGTAGCCCAAATTTTGCAGGCCGACCATAGATATCAGGTGTGCGTCGGTGCGGGCTCGAACCCCGGACCATGTGCATGGTCGGCGAGAGTCCTAACCACTGTGCCACGGAAATCGAACCTGGACCTCTTATCCTATTGGCACAGATAAAATTACGAGTGATAAATTATATCTTTGTCAAAACGTGAAACATTTCAAGTTTAATCTAAAAGGCAGTCTATGAAGTTTAGTCACAAACCAGGCAATCTTATACCATCCAAGGTGTTAATCTAATACTCATACAGTCTCCAGTAGTCAATGAAATCCACAACAGTTGGTCTAAGCCACGTAGGAAGGTGTAGATTTTCAGGCTAGGGTCCTCGGGACGGTAAAATCCTATGGTTGGAAACAATTGGTGACATGGCTCAAAATTGTTCTCAGTGGCGCAGATGCATCCACTCCCTGTGACTTATGATCTCCAATGAAATTGTTTTGTTCTTCTTTATTACTCCTCCTTTGTCTCACACCTCTGCTCACTGTCTCTATTATGCTTTTCTTGTACTTTCTTCTCTTGCTTCTCGTGCTACACGGAGTGTGGCGACTTGAACTTCCGCACATTTGTGCAGAGTTCTATGTCGAAAACAGACAGACAGACAGTCTCCAGTATTATATATTCTACTGCTACGCGGTAAGTCAAGAAGTTTACCTTTGAATGTTTTTATTACCGCCAATATATATAAACCAACTTTAAGTATACAAACGAACATTAGGAATTGTATAATAAGAGTTTGTGAATGAACTGGTCAATAGTTTATCCAAATAAGCGACGCTAAGTTAGGTGGGGCTGTACCCATTGACTGAAAATCAAGTGCTTTGGTCGATAAGCAACATTATATCACCATTGAATTAACTAATCGGATTATCACCAATACGTAAATGTATATTAGCTGATCACTGCCCTCTATAATCTGCATTCCATCTTCAGAATTATTGATATTTCTTCCGAATATTATATCGATAAAGTTTAAAATATTATTTCATTGAGGGTGGCTAACACTGGAGCCAAAAATGAGCCTTTCGTATGACTTGAGACTTATCTGGTGCTGATGTACTGACATTCTCAATGAATAATGCAGTTCCCATTGGGACTGGAATTCAGTATCTATTATTTTATTCCCGTGAAAACTGAGGCGAAAAATATTTAAATTTTGTGCTTATGATGACACTGGGATAAATTTTCCGCTGTTCTGTTTTCATCCGCTTACTCAGAACAATATGTTTTTAACATGGGCTGTTAAATTTGGCTGCTTTTTTGTCCAATAAAGGCCAGCCGGCAAAAAAATACTAGGTGCACACAAAATGGCTTCATTTGTGAGCAATCTATTTTCACTTTTTTCATTTTTCTACCGTTCCACTTGAATCAAAGAAGCCAGTGTTATCTTGGTTAATGGCGACTAGCGACGGAATCCTCAGTGCCCATCTTACCCATCCTACCTACGACTCGCCACCTGAATGTACCTGCACCACCAGGTAAATAATGGTTTTTCCACAGAAACTCAAATCCTATACTTATCATTTTTAACGTCGAGCATTATCCATTAGGCCACAGACTTCTAGTTGCCACCAATGAAAATAACATCACGGTAATCCTCAGGCATCATTGAAGCTTCCGTACTATGAGCTGAAATGTCAGCAGGGACCGAGTATTCCATACCCAACACAACTAATCAACGGAAATATGAATTAGCGGAATTAGCGAATTGGTCCACCGAGTGGTTGCACCACAGGATGGATGATACAGCATGCTGGTCCCATCTTGCAAGAAGCATGGATAAGTGCGCTTCGTTCTCCTGAAAACCAATGCCCAATCAATGGGTGGTGTATCACTGTGTAAATTAGCCTAAAAAAAGGAAAGGTTATTCATTGTTCACGATGATCATAAGACTAATAAGTCACGTTGACTGTGGTTCATCAGTGTCCTCTGTTAATTGATTAATCACATGAATTTCATTTGTTCATAATTAGAAGTTCCAGAAATGCTTTTTAATTTATTTTTCTAATTTTTTTCTCCAATGAAACTAATCCGTCAAATAAGATACATACCTTTAAATTAAACTGTGTTTTTTTTGTTTCGCTCACCTGAAGTAAAACACACTTGCGTATAACCAAAACTTCTAGCCTTGTTTAAATCAGCATTTGTTGCGTCAAAAACTGTAGGATTTACCAGTAAAAATGTTGGCAGAGCTATTGATGCAGCTGCTAAAGCAATTGCTACGGCCAAGATTATGAAACCAGCAATCACCCAGCTTCGTGTATATCTTACAGATCGAAAATCATAATCATCCATATCCATAAAACCAGATTTCAGGGTAGACGACATATCTGTAAGAATAGAAAGAGAGAAATGGCAATAAGAATATGTATTAGCTTCACTATTCGACTTATTTCGACAGAAAACTTTAGGCTGCACATCGACAGATTGCCAGGATATAATCAGTGTCGTGTTTCTGGTCCTTGGTATTACTACTGCTGACTTAGTTCTGTCAGTCAAGTCTACAAGGTGGTCACTGATCTAGACGACTCATCATAATAGTGTACTTCTATTTCAGATTAGATGGTTGTGAGGAGGAAGTTGTAATGAGGTCCTACACCTAGGTTTATCGCTTACAGGCACTCATCAACAAAGTGTATATGCAACGTTGAGAGAAACCAATGTTCCCTCTCAGATTCGCATCTGCGACACTTGGTGCTTAAGCCATTGATGTTATCATTGAGCTAACCGGATTCTGTAAATTATTCTCCTCTTTATTTGTAAAATTCCTCTGCAAGACACCATAAAACACACTTTTTGTCATGAGAACTGAACGAACCTAAAATTTCTAGCTCACTAAATTCCAACTAGGCAGTCAGAATGTCACTAGTGTCATCTGACAATTTTCATGTCATGCGTGCATGCTTCTGAAGAGTCCAAAACTAAGACGAAAAAAACTGGTATTTAATTTTTCTCTGATTGCTGACGATATGTGAGTGATTTTTATGTTTTTCCTTAATATGGGGAATGCCAGTCTTGTTGGATACTGCACTCTGACGAATAGCAAATTTTGGATGAGTCATCAGGCTGTCTTTCACCAATATTGCGTACCACAAATCTTTAATAGCATCATTCAACAGCTGTACGACGATGCCATATGTCAGGTGATCCTTAACGGAAAACTCAGCGATAACTTCGAAGTGGATAAATGAGTTAGACAACTTTGCCTATTAACACCTGTGATATACCTAATTGTGGTGGACTAGATTATACGGGAGACTGCTAGGAGTGAGAAGAGAGGAATACGTTGGAGCGAACAAAACCCTAGGAGACCTGGACTTCTCATGAGACATATGTTTAGTGTCACATACACTGGAAGATCTATAGGCGGAAAACAACAAGATGTCAGGAGACTCAAAAAGCTAAGATAGGACTTCAAGTGAACTTAGGGAAGACTGAGGCGATGAAGGGGCCCAGAGACCAGCAACAAGCATCAGTCACTACCAACGGGAGTAATTTGAGAGAATTCACCTCCACTGATTTGGACAGCTTCATTTCAATGCCAGGCGGGCAGCATGGATAAGAATATCAAAACCGGGATTGGAAATGGAAGGCACACCTTTATCACTCTGAAATCAGTTTGGAAATCTTCTGCATTCCAAAGCATCAGGAACAATACCAGGATTTACGACACTAATGTTAAGTCAGTCAGTTCTGTAAATATTGCTCAGAAACTTGATGCGTCATATAAAGTATTTTCAAGAGGTTGGACACTTTTATTAACAGATGCCTTTGCTCCAAATTGAAGATTAGATGGCTGGGAGGAATTAGCAGCAAGAACCTTTGCTCATGAAATATCCCGGAGAAAATTAAATGGATCGAACACATACTGAAGAGCTCGTTGGGTGACATCGTGAGCTAGGACGTCGCTCCAGTGGCACGCGAATAAGAAACGACAAGCTGGGAGTCATTTCGAGGGAGACATGGAGGACATCGTGTGGAGAGGAGATGACAGCCCAAGGGATAATTGTGAAGCCAGCAGAATAGGACCTCACAGAACAGGAAAAAGTGGAATTGGCTACTGAAGCCTAATGTTTGACTCGGAACCCAAGGGGACATCACTAATAATAAATCGAGCTGTCTACTCACTGCATCATGAGACTAAGTTGATGAGTGATTTCCAACTGCATTTCTCTTGTTGATGTTTGTATGATATTTGCATTTGAGTGAGAGATAGGCAGCTCTCCATTCTTTTTCCGTACACTAGTTGTGAAGCTGTCTGCTGCTTGCTTACCAGATTGTCCGGGGTAAAACTGAATGCATCGTTGAATGAGACTCGACTTGTATAAGGCGCACCTTCTTCTAGTTTAGATAATATTCAGATGAATCAATGCCCTAGTTGATCAGACTTCCGATCAGGATACCTTTAAAAGTTATTGACAGGTTAGTTGAGCTTAGTTTCGATCTGATATTTTTATAGAGTTAGCAGCATAGTAGCTAGGAGTTAGATAGTAATTTAATATTTTCCTGCTTGGTTTGCAGGAATTCAAATAATTTCGAAATGGATCTGTATCTATTCACGATGACGAAATCAGCCTTGAAGTTGCATCCCAATTACAGGTTATTTCAGTGGCACGTCTTTCCTAATTTATGGTAATGATGACATGGAGAGTAATAAAATGAACATATGGGAAACAAAAGTATCGTTCGATAATACGCACACACACACACACACAATTACAGGTCTTTAAATTTAATCCATTGAAGAGTACTTCTGTCGATGAATATGTCTCTCTAACCAAAACATTTTCAAGAGTGAAAACCAAACACGTTATTACAAAGAGAGAATGTATAAATTCAGCCTTGATTTTCAGTCAGATTACTTTACCAATAGGTGTCAGAAAAACAACTTTAGAAAATAATAGGTCACTTAAGGGATGTTTCTTCCTCAATTTGGACTCTTCATCAGTGTGCATACCATAGGCCCATTAGAAATCGAAAATACGGCGTTCAAGTGACAAAGACAGCATTCCTGGAATGTAGTCACACAATGTTACCACTAAAATGTTATTCTGTGTGTATGACCTAATGAAGCTGAATGCAAGAGATCTTTTCATTTCTTTGTCTCACGGATGTAACATGGGTTTTCAAGCATAAATGTTGAAGTTTCGGTAGTGATGATTGGGCTTTTAAGAGGTGGGGTTACTAGCCCCACGTTCAACCTTCACTTACCACTGGACTTACCCTGAGGTAGGTGAGGCTTAAGAGTGTGTCGATTGTTCGGGAATCGAATACGAATCATGTGCATGGTTAGCGAGTTATCAAATAAATATTTTTTTATCTTAAACTCAGTAAAATGTGAAGGGAACAAATAAGCTACAGAAAGCCTTCTGCTAATTGGATTACTTCACATGTTTCGAGGCGTCGGTGGCACAGTGGTTAGGACGCTTGCCGACCATGCACATGGTCCGAGTTTTGATCCCCGGCCGACGCACCCGTTTACCCCGCTAAGCCAGAAATAATGCTGGTAGAGGGGAAAGGTTTGGAATGAGGCTAGCAACTCCATCCTGTAAAAAAGAAACACTGCTATAGAAATTTCAAGCTACTAGCTTGAGGCCCTATGTTCCACAGGGAACGTGAAGGAAAAATTATTATTATTATTATTATTACATGTTTGGAGACCTATTACTGATGAAGCTGTCTAGCTTAACAATGAAACGTCTGTATTTGAATTTTATGGCATCAATGAGTTTCCATATAAATTCTCCTGACGCATAGCGAAAAGGGATACACAACGATGTCTTCTACTGTGATTTAATGCCTCCTTTGAAAATGGCACATTAACTATCATCCTTTAACAGATTTTATCCTCTTTCATATTTCTTAATTCTTTCCTAATCTAAATTTTCCAAATAATTTTCCAATATCTAAAACTAATCTTAAAGTAATTTAAACAATGAATTTAGTTATACGTTAAACATTCCAAGAAAGGTTGTAATAATCGATTTTCAACAAAACCAAATTATATATATGTTATAATACAAAGACTATTTAAATATGTTAGAAGGCAATAATTCAACTGATAAGATATCCAAAATTTTATCATTTTTTATTCTTATTATTACTACAAATTATGAGAAGAATTATAGAGAAAGAAATAATTAATTTTAAGAAATGAAATAAAGGCAAATTAAATGCTTAGAAATTGTTAAATACCTAAGAAATATACACATTTTGTTTTATTTCACTTAATTTGTAGAGGGAGGCACTTTTAAACAAAAATCAATACTTAATTAAGATGAGGCAATATGACTTAAAGTTATTTAAGGTTATACTGGTGTTTATAATTTAGAATCATTATCTCTTATAAATTTTGTTTATTAATCATGACTTTAAAGTTAACTATACAGCCTCCAAATTATGTATGTGTATGATGTATTTTATTTGAAATAAATTGCATATTTATTCAAGCCAACTTATGCTATATATTGAAGTATTGGTTTTGTAGGGATTTTTGTTTAATTGGTTTGAGGATTTCATTATGTTTACAGGATTTCCTCATGAGCTGACATTGGTTAGAGGACCAGTGGAAAACCTAAAAGTACCGGACATCTGTTTCGTCCTAGTTTGGGACTCTTCAGCAATACTCGCCCACTGCCAGGGTTCAAACACAGGAACTTATGGTTACAAGGCGAGTTCGTAGACCATTAAGCCACTGCGACCCGATCCAATGGTCAGCCCATGAATTCTGCCAGCTTCTGCCAATTCATGACATAGCGCGACCCCTAGCCAATGTCTTCGGCAAGTATTTGTCCTAACACCCGACCTGCTGCCCCCTACTGGTCACGGCTTCTCACTAGAACCCCAGGTAACTATCTACCTGAATAGGGCGAGTCGCTAGTGGGCATTTTATCGACATTTAAGTTCGAACCCCAGTGTCTGCGTACTGCTGAAGAGTTGCAAACTAGGCTGACGAAACAGCTGTCCAGTTCTCCCAGGTTTTCCAATGATCCCCTAACCAATGTTAGCTCATGATGAAATCCTGTAGCCAATCAAATTCCTACAAACCAACACTTACATTTTATTATGAGCTGACATCAATTGGAGAACCAATGGAAAACCTGGGAGTAGCGGACAGCCGTTTCTTCCTAGCTTGGGACTTCATCAGAAGTCACCTACTGAACGGGGTTCGAACCCAGGACCTTCTGGTTGCAAGGCGTACTAGCTCGTAGACCACTAAGCGATTGGAACCCGATTCAATGGCCAGTCAGTGCCTGCATTCTGACTTCTGCCAGTTCATGACATTGTGCGACCACTTCGCAATGTCTTCTTGGATAAGTAACTGTCCTCA